GGCCAAGTAAGTAGTTGCCTTAACTTTATTCCAATACACCTGAAATTGGCTTGCCTTGTTCTAACTGCCTCACCTAGGTATGGCACCAGGGCCTTCTTGTTAGCTCAGGCTGATGCTCATAGAAGATATTGAGATACAAGGTATGAAGGTTCTTGTGCATCCATGGAGTCACTGGGCTAATTTCCCAGAGATGCCCATATCCCCAGATATTAGAGATTGATTATTATTATTTTCAAAATATTGTTTTAAAATTATTAGATTATTATTATTAGATTATTATTTTTAAAAACTAATTATCCTTGCATCCATATTAGTGGACTTGATTCAGAAGACATCACCAGGCATAAGGGCAAGATTACATACTCTTAATCAGTCACTTAGTGGCTTTGAAGATCAGGAATCTTTAGACTCTACAATAGGGGTTCTTAACCCTTTTTGTGTCTTGGACCCCTTAGGAAATAATGTGAAACAAACCTATGGACTCCTCATCAGAATAATCCTTTTAAATGCATGAAATAAAATAACATGAGATTACAAAGAAAATACTTATATTGAAATAGCTATTGATTTGAAAAAATAAGTTTACAGACCCCAGGTTAAGAAACCTCTATTAAAGAGGCCATCTGAAACTTATTGCTCTAACTGTATTTGTGTACATTAAATAGTGACATTCTCCTTATCTTTTACTCTAAGACCTTCAGGGTGACCTGACCAATACCCAACTTGCTGTTGATTTAAGTATCAAGAGATTATGTAAGGTTAGGCCTTCAAGGACTGCATTAGGTTCAGAGCATTAGTGCTGTTGATGGAGTTTTTCAACTCTGTCTGTCTGTCTGCCCCAACCCGAAAATAAAACCTGAGTGATAGCTGCCTTCCATGTCACGTTTGCAAACAGGCTGGGAAGCCTTCTCATGGAAAGATGGGGCCTTTCAAGGGAGAAATTCAGCATGTTGCTAAGGAGCAGCAAGCAACAGCTGGTTGAGAAATGAATCTGTGTCCTTGGAAGAGCTTGTTCCCAGTCAGTAATTAAATGTTACTGCAGCATCCCTTCCATCAAGGAGATACAGAAATATGCTATAATGAGACAGGTGGGACGGAGAAAGAAACCTAGTTCAAAGTAAAAGTGGTAAATAAAAACCCTCCAAACCTTTTCCAGGCTCACTAAACAAGCAAAAAAGCCCTTGGAGGAGGAATACAATTGAACTTGCTTAAGGTACTTAGTAGTAACTCTGTAAGCTCTCTGGGATATTGGATGGTAGGGTGGATGGGAAGAAGGATGACTACAGGCAGCCTGAGCCAACCAGCCCCTGAAATGAGCTTACAAAACTACCACAGTCCATGTTAGCAGGTAACTAGACCTAAAGGAAGCTGGTGCCTCAACAAAAATAAGACCAGTTTCTGATGACCTTTCACTTTTTAATCTCAAAATGTTTGAGACATGGAATAGCAATGCAGCATATCATCTCAGCATTCCATTTCCTGTCTTTTACTGTATGACCCCCCAAATAACCCTCATAATAATAAAATAATTTGATTAAGCTGAGAATAGTTCCATCAGGAATGAAGTTTTAGTTGACTTTTTTCTCTTGTTCTTTTAATAACCCCATTAAAAATAAAAATAGCCCATTCTTCATTCTTTAAATAAGGGCTCAGAAGTTCAAATATGCCAGCAAAGCTGACAGAAAAATCTCTCCTTTTGAGAACCCTAGCTTCTTCATTTATGAGCCCCAAAGGGAGCATAATTAGCTTGACATCAGGAAACTTCCAGTCCTAAGAAACAGAAGGGAAATGACATCCTGGAACAACCCTCCCACATGCAGCCTTTGGAGCTCAGAACCTGATAGCAACCCAGAAGAGCTAACATGTACCACCAACAAGCAATGTCTGCAGTGGGCTTCAACTTCTCTTTGCAGGAGAGGAAAAAGACTTAAGCATCAAAGAGTTAATGAAATATATAGATGAGCTGTGAGCTTCCAAAAAAGTGGTAGAGTACTGAAATGTTTTTTATTTTCTAAACCCACACTGCAAAGATTGGATAACTCACAACCTTGTCAACAGTGAGAAGGGGTTGGGTTCAGATGGGTGAACAGAGACAGGATGGAAAGTTTTCCTTCTCATTTTGAAAGAAAAGATAGCTATCTGGAAAAAAAGTTCTGTATATAAGAGGACAAAAGTGAAAAGAGTATGCTGGAATGTTATGCCCCAGAAAGGGCATTCACATAATAAAAGGAGATAAACCTATAGGTCTTCAGAGCTGAGAGAGGTCATGCAGATCACTTAGTCTGACCCTCTAATTTATAGATGAGGACACAAGCTCAGAGGTTGAGTGACTTGGGAGGTAAAGGTAAGTCACAGAGAGGCAGTGACAGAGAGGGCTATGGAAACTGGGTCCCCTGAGTAGAAGTTCAGTTCTATGTACAAACTCTTATTTTTTAGGCAGAACTATTAGAAACCCATATTAAAGTGTCTAGTGATTCAGGAACACCTCAACAATTCAGATGGCACAGTGGAATGGTACAGTGGAAAGTGTGTTAGATTTGGAATCCAAAGACCTAGGTTTGAACTCCAGCTCTGCTGCTTATTAGCCATGTGGGGCAAGTCACTTGATTCCTCCTAAGCCTCAGTTTCTTCTTCTATTAAATTAGGGAGTCAGACTAGTTGGCCTCTAAGGTTATTTCTAGCTATAAACGTATTACCTTATGAATTCAGAAAACCAAAGCCTTGTTGATATGCAATAGTATTTTCCCCAAGCTGATATGGCCTTGCCAAAAATATGTGCTAGAACTCTTTTAGGAATATTGACAAGTAAGTTAAAGCTTTACAGAAATGTGTACACACACACACACACACACACACACACACACACACACACACACACATTTCTTTGACCAGGAAAGAGGAACCTCTCAAATGGAAGCTTTGTTTCTGTGGTTGCATCAGACTTAGCAAAATTTTCTTAAATTGTAGAGTAAAATTGATTGTTCATAAAACCAAGTTTCTATGAAACCTAAAGGGAGGTGCTTTTTAAACAGGTGCTCACGTGTAGTTACAAATGATCTACCCAAACCTTCCATGACTTGGGCCATTCTAAGCTTTTAGGCCTTAATCAGTTGTCCCATACATAAATGATTGTACTAAGTGCATCCCATGACCGAAGTAACTTTTGTTCTAATAACATACTATGATTATCATTGTCAGGAGCAATCTTCTCATGTGTGTGTGGGTCTGGATTGCTTTTAACTTACAGATCTATAGAGTTGCTTCTTCCTGGGGCCTGTACTTTGATCCAAGTTGCTTGCTTTAATATGTAAAATTAAAACAGCACACTTGAGAATCATAGGACTTAGGGTCAGAAGGGACTTTAGAGTCAGAAGGGACCTTAGAGTTCACCTCAACCAGTCTTCTCATTTTACAGATCAGAAAACTGAGGCCTTGGGAGGAGAAATGCTTCTGCCATCATCATGCAGCAACTTCTCCTTTGTAATTAACTCTACCCAGAAATATCACCTTATTCAGATGTTTGTGGCAATCACTTGATGGCCTCCTTGTCTGTTTTCCTCCTTTCTCAAAGAGTTTATTTAACACTTGGCTTGCAGTCATCCCCTCCCTTTCACTCCTTGCTGTTATACTTAACTCACCAGGTTATTTAACCTTCTGAAACCTCCTTAGTTCCTTCCTGGTAAAAGCCTTAACCACCCTCTACCACCTGGGTGAAGGAAATCATTCTGGGAGTGTAAGGGGGTAGCAGTAATAGAATAAACCTGGGGTTTCCCCACCATCAGTGACGGTTTCCAGTTCTCCTCAGTCCCACTTCCATTCTCTGCCTTTGTAGTCCTGATCTCAGTGGGATTTAACACATTTTCCAATGGAATTTCTGGGCTGGTTCTAGCCCATGACCTATTAGTCCCACCCCCATCAACATTTTTTCCTTTTACTTATGCTGTTAATAGGTCCATCAGCTACCCCATTGCCTTTTCAGCACCATTCTTAAAAATTAATAAGAGCCTTTGTGCTGAACGTACAAGGAGAGTTTGCCTTCATTTACCTTATGCTAATGATCTAGCTTTTCTAGAGCCATCAATAACCAGGCGTAAGGTGAATTTTAGTGTGTGTAAAGAGGATTTTGTTATTCCTTTTTAGATAATAGTTGCAGGATCCATGGCCAAAATAGATAATTCCCATGAATTACTGTTGAAAACATCTCCATCACACTTGTGCAGTGAGATATAGGGGTGATATAAGGTACACCTGTGCTGTGCTAGATCATGATGATATTGCTAAAGTTAACCTGAGAAGCTATTGTTGGCAATATGCCTTCGTGGTCTGTTGCCCTATAAAGCAAGTGGGCCACTGACTGGTCAGTAAGGGGGGGGAACCCATTTTGGGATTTGGGTAATGCATAGAGGAATGCATGTATCTGCCTTGATCAGCCCCCATCAAGGCTTGGGGGGAATTTGTGTTTGCATTAACTGGCCCCCATTGAGGTTTAAGGGATGAGGAGTTATACTCCTCTCCCACCCCTGCAAGAAGTGTGATTAGGGGATGCTGTAGGAGTTGGTGCTCCCATTATCAGCAACACTTTTGAGAAGACTAGACTAGAATAAAATAAGCTTACATAACCCCTTTGAAGCTGCCTTCCTGTCTCACTGGATCAAAAGTGAACCTGTGCTATAACACCTGTTAGTGTCAGGAGCCCTCTTGTGTTCTCCTGCCCAACAAAACCTGTGAAACACTAGGAAATACTCCCTCTCAGGATATCTTTATCTTCTGTCAACCTTCTTTAGCACCCACCAGGCTTATCCCATTCAATCAATGGGGGACCCCTCTTGGTCCTATTGACAAGGCCTGCCCACAGCAGTCCTAGGGTACCATGCTATACTGGACTATCCCCAGCTTCAGCCACAAGAACCAATCTTGTTGACTGCATTCCCAACTGTCGTGGCTCAGGCTGGTCTAGTATTTCAGGTTTGGGATTGGAACAAAATGAGATCATTTGACAATTGACAAAAAAAAAAAGTTTACTTAGCCAAAGCACAGAAAGGATATTCAACAAGGGTACAGTGCTGGTTCAGGGAGACACAGCATCCATCATTTCCACACAAAGCCCTATCTGGTCAGGAGGGTGTGTTGACTCAAATAGCAGTGGTACACCTCTTAAATCTAGAGGATACTTGACTCCTCATAGGTTACCATTCCTTTCACAACCAAAGTCCTAGAAAATCTTCTACTTCAGATCCTCGACTTCCTAACATGTTACAATATGCCGTACAACTCTACTACCCTCCTGAAAGTGTTTTCTCTAATATTACAATTGCTAAATCCAGTGGCCTTTTCTAAGACCTCATTCTTTCTGACCTCTCTGTAGTTTGATACGGTTGACCACAGCCTCATCTTTGATACTCCTACATTAGCCCTCAGCTATGTTCTTGCCAGACTAGAGACCATAGCCTGAAGGACTTAACCCTTTCATCTCTGGAACACCCACTCTGGAGCCTCATTGTCCTGATTGATGAGTGTCTCACCTGGCCCATGATATTAAACCAAATTGGCTCTAGTCATGCTTCACCTTACTCCCCGACCAGCTCTTCACCACATATTTGCCTTATTGCCACATGTATTGTCCTTTGTGTTGCCCCTTTTTCCACTCCACCCACACTCTAGAAAGTGCTCTAACTTTCTCGTTGTAGAACCAAAATCAAATCACTACTGCTACTAGAAAAGGTGTGTCAATCTACTCCATTGTTGCTCCACGTATCAACCTCGTAACTTTCTAAACCAAAATACCCATCTTGGCCACCATTCCCCGTAGGCATTTTCCACTATTACAAGCTCCTTGAGGGCAGGGGCTTCCTTTGCCTTTGTATTCTCAGTGTTTGGTATATAGTATATTTAATATATGCTACTTCATTTGCTCTGATGACACTGCTGTCTCAGGTTCTCCTACCTGTCGACCCTCTCCATTCGTCTCCTTTGGGCCATAATAATCCATATCCCACCCCTTAAGCATTGAGGTATAAGCTAAGGCTGTTTTGTCTCGAGCCCTCTTTTCTTCTACCTCATCTCTTACTGACCCCATAAATTCTTATAGGCTTAATCAGCTTTAGGTGGATAACTATAAAATCAACATTACCAGACTCTCTCCTCTCCTGACCCCCAAGCCAAGCCAAGCCAGTCCAATCAATCAAGTATTTATTTTCTACTATGGGCCAGGCACTGTGCCAGGTGCTGAGGCTACAAATACAAAGATGAAATGATTCATACTTGCAAGGACCTTACACTCAAATACAATGTCCTAGATTACAAGTTGCCTACTGAACATCACCACCCGTATCTTAAACACAGTACGTCCACAATGGGACTTATAATCCTTAAGCCCATCCCTTTTCTTAACATCCCTATGCTGTTCAAGGATACCACTATGCTTTCAGTCACCCAGGTTCACAACTTCAGTCATGCTACACTATTCACAGTCATGCTACACTATTCACTCTCACACTTCATTATTCAGTTGTTTGAAGTTGTCATTTCAACCTTTGTCTCTCATTTTCGCTCCTCTCCACTCACATGGACAATGCCCTAGTTCAGGTCCTTATTACCTTCTGCCTTGACTAATGGGCTAACTAGTAGTTTCTAACTAGTCTTCCTGACTAGTCTATTCTCCAATCCTTCTTCTGCATACAGCAAACTGTCTTAAAGCATCGATACGACATGTCTCCTTTGTTCAAGAAGTTTAAGGGGCTCCCTATTGCCTCTAGAATAAAACATAAACTATTCTGTTAAGCATTTATAATCCTTCACAACTTGGCATGATACTTGTCACTTCTCATACACAGCCTTTCATCTCCCACCTATGGATCATCACATCTCCCCTTTCTGGAAGGCTCTCTCTCCTCACTTTGGCCCCTCAGAATCTCTAGTTTCCTGCAAGGCTCAGCTCAGGCACTTACTCCACCATGAGGTCTTTCCTGATCACCCTGATTTTTAGGCCATGCCTCTTACTGAGATGACTATCTACTGTGTAATTGTCTGCAGGAATGTTGTATCCCTCTCTTGAATATATAAGTTCCTTGAAGGAAAAGGCTGTTTTGCTTTCTCTTTATGTCCTCAGTACCTAGAACAGTACCTGGCACAAGGTAAGAGCTAAGTGTTTGTTGAACTGAATTGCACAGTGTTATTTCTGAGCCAAGGTGAATGCTGTGTTTTGTTAATGAGGAACTCTTGAAGGTGGCAGGCACTCATCACTCCCACTGGACTTAGCAGAGTTGGCTGACAATGCTTGCTTGTGGCTAAGGTGCTATGAATTAGGCTCTTACTACCACAAACAACTAACAATGAGAGGCAGCATGGTATAATGGAAAAAGATTCCTGGACCTGGATTCAGGAAAGACCTGGGTTTGAATCCTGCCCCCACCATTTACTAGATGACATATACTTAATTTGTCTGAGCCTTATCTTCCTCATCTGTAAAATGGGGATAACAAAACCAGAAGTGCCTACCTCACATGGTTTTTGTGAAGATCAAATGAGATAATGTACATAAAGTGTTTCGCAAAGCTTAAAATACTCTACCTTGGCTATTTTTCAGGAAGTGACTGACTACCTTTTAAAAATCAAGAATTTGAAAAGCACAGCAAGGAATCTGAAATAATCAGAACAAACGATAATCTTCAAACTGCAGATATAAATAAGTAAGAAAATATGCCTTTTATTTTTACTTAAAAAGACAGCCTCAATTTTTGGCTAAATGAAAAGGAATGAGCAGGGTCTCAATTAGTTATTAGGTCTGGCCACAATGGCAACCAACTGCTCTGCTTCAGGCTGCATACCAATGTCAAGAAAAGAGGAAAGAAGGAAAAACAGTGGAAAATTCTCATCTACACCTCAATAAAATACATACACACAGAACTCCCCCCACTCAAAATAATTAAAGGACTTAATGCTGGGCAATCTCTTGTGGAAAAAGTGGGAGACATTTAAATTATTTCATAGCTAGATTTTTTTTTTTAAAGTAAGTTATCCTGGGTCCAACTCCTCTCTTCTGGCTCATGTTTGAGTGACTATAGACCAACCAAGGTTGACCTACACAGACCCTGGTTCCAAAGGAATGATGCTGGCACCTGAAAGACTCTGCTTTCTAATCTGCAGAGATGGGAAGGGGGTACAAGTCTTAAAAGGCAAGACAACTTGGCTTTGGTGGATCCCCAGCCTTTGGGCAACACCCTATGTGCAGCTGTGTCGCATGTGGAAGTTGACAACATACTCAGCATTAGTCCTTTGCACCGAAATGGCAAAGGGCTCAAAAGGGTGGAAGGTAAAGGCGACCAGGCGTCGGACTGTGTGGTTGATGGGGCGGCCCAGCAGGCCTGCCTGGATCTCAAACTTGAGCAGACCAGAATCCCGGGCATAGAACCTGAATGGAAGACGAAAAGAAGGAAAAACAATAGTATTTATGTTCTCGACCATTTTAGGTCCCTTCTACTGTGGGGAGGCTAACAAATGACCAATATGCTTCATTATGCTCCCTACTCTTATCTGTTCTAAGGGCAGCGAGGTGTCAGCGGATAGAGAGTGCCATGCTTGGGAGTCAACATGACCCGAGTTCAAACTTGGCCTTAAACACATTCTAGCTGTGTGACCCTGAGCAAGTCACTTAACCTCTACCTTACTTTCCTCATGTGTAAAATGGGAACAATAATAGCGCCTCTCTCCCAAGGTTGTTATGAGGATTAAATGAGATAATATTTATAAGGCACTCAGCACAGTATAAGTATTATATAGTTAACTATTATTATTATTCCAGATTTTCAAAACAAAGAGGTCTAAAGCAAACTATGAAATCACAAATACTTTTAAATTCTATCATTCCTTGAGGGTTATTTCCCTCCAAATGATGATCCCAGTTACAACTCAGTCACCTTCAGAAGTCATTCATCTTAAAACAGCTAGGCCCATTACAAAAGGTAAATTGTTACTTTGAAAATATTTAATCTGGTACATTCCATCCCATAAAAAAGGTAAAATGTTATAAGCTTGTTCTCCTTTTAATAAAACACAATGAAACCAAAGACTTTCGTAGCCATCCCAGCATATCCAAGCAATTAACCTGAAGAGAACAAGGACCTCTAGTGTCCTCAGTGATAAGGACACAAGAATCTCATTGGTTTCAAGAAGCAGTGAGTGGACGTTCTCATGTAGTGATAGGTTTTCTTAAGTCAGCATAGTCTAGTAGAAAAAGCACTGAGTTGATCAGGAAATCTGGATTTTAGTTCTAACTCTAAGCCCAAACAAGTTGTATGACCATAAGCACGTGGCTCAATCTCTCTGGATCTTAAAACTAAGTGTTGAATGAGTTTATCTCTTAGCTCCCTTTCAGTTCTAATATTCTATGATTCTTTAAGTATGGAAGAACCTTAAACAGAACAGTATCAGTACCAAAGTGTACTTCTGTACATTGTAATTCCTAGCCTAAAATTTCCCAAAATAGGAAAGACCTCCTAATCTTACCTATTCAACAAACTGCCCCAATTCCCAAACTGCCTCTGCATATGCAAACTACCAGGTCACCAGGGCTGATCTGATGATTTGGAAGTATATATAAGACTACATGTCTTGACTTTACAAATTATAATTATGTAATGGATTATTGGAATAATTACAGAATACCCTTTTCTGGATATCTTTAAAAAGAGAAGACACACCTATATGTCTTAAATAATTCACCTGATAACAAGAGACAGGATTAGAAGAACACTTGTGAAATCCATTCTAGCACTATGTTAGATTAAAGTAGTAGAGTGATCATGTATTCTATTATTTTATAAACTTTCTATCCTTTCTAATGAGCATATGAAGCTGTGGGAGACATGAAAAGTAGAAAGGACTGCAAAATCATGCAAACCAAAGTGACTTCTGGCACAAGAGAACTGAATGGAGAGTCAGCTTCCTCACTTCCTTATTTTTTTTTTAATGGTGATGGGTGTAGTGTGCCCCTTCGTACCTGATCGGGTGATCTCCACAAGTCTTGGGCCGCTCCATGACTGATACCCACTTATCGTCATAGCTGAAGAGAGACAGATCGAGGTAGGGACTGCCACTGTATGATTGGGCGCTGATGGGGAGCTGACCAAGCAGCCTCCGTACTGCCTCCGTGTGCCCTCCATATTTTGCATTTACAATAGTGTCTTTAAATCTGAAAATCAATCAGTATAGCAGAAAAGCAATGTAGGAGACATTGTCAGAGAGCACATTAAAGTTCAGAGTTTAAGTCTATAAATTTATGGGTTTGTAGATAAAATATTACTGCAAATAATACAACTCAGCTTGTTTGTTTCCAGTATTATAGGAACCCATTTCTCCAGCCAAAATGGTAGAAAAAGAGGGGATCCTGTTTCTAAAAATATATTTCACTTCAAATTAAAGGCTTAGAAATGGGGAGATGTGAAATGACTAAGGAAATCAACACAGGTTCCACAGAAGGACTACAGACAAAGGTTGACACAAGGACAGGAACACCAAAGCTCATCCTGACAAGCTATGTGAGCATGGGCAAGTCATTTCCCTCTCTCAACTCCAGTTCCCTCAGCCGTAAAATGGAAATACCTGTCATGAATAAGTATCTCACAAAGCTGTTGGGACAGTCAAATGAGAAAAGGTTATGCAAAGCAAACCTCAAAATGCTAGATAAATTTTAACTACTGTTAAATAAGGTGAGTGTTTGTGGCTATGGGTGAAGCCCAAGGACAAAAGACAACTTAGGAAACTCATTCCTGAATCAATAGCTTTCAAACTCATTAAAAAAACAACCCTAGATAGTAGAAAAAGAGAAAGCCTCTCTTGGGCTCTTCCAGCAGCATACACTGTAACATGACATTGCTAATTTATTTTTAAAAAGCAAAAAGTCAGCAATTTATAAAGTTCAATACTTAAGTTGCTACTTCAGGGTCTGCATTTCTATAGTTACCAGTACCTAGGACAGGAGACAGATAGCACTAAGCACAACAGAAAGGGGGGAGGAAGATATTGTGTGTACACACATGTAAATACATATATAAATATGTATGTATGCATAAATACATGCATACATATATAAAATATATGTATACACTCACAAATCATTACACAAAACTCCCATCTTAGAAACAGGCATGTATGTATTTACTATGAAAGTAACTTAATATTTCTTTCAATTCAAATAAAGATGTTTATTCATTTTTCTGTCCTATTTTGTTGCCTTCTTACATAATTTCCCAGTCTTAAGTGTAAAATATAAAATTAACCTCTGAATTAAAGACAACATTCCCAGGATTACTAGAAGAGAATACAAATGCAATCATAACTCACACTCGGGTTTTGTCTAAGGCAGTTTTGGGAAATGGTACACCTTATGTTCTGATCAACACGGTATTGTTGAATTAATAAATAGCTTCGATACTTGTCTTCTCTTTGCTAAGAACAATGGAGTGGCAGTTTCTCAAAGGTTCAAAAAATATTTAACATATCAGTATGTCATTAGTATCTATAATTCAAAGCACATTATTGGTCTAAAAATCAAGGAGAAAACCTCATTATCATCCTGTTTCCCTAGATTCATCAGCTTCGTTTTGATTTCTGATTCTTACTATATTCCTGCTTATAGCCATTACATAAAATTTGCGATGGGAGAAGAATACAAATGCCAAACACTTTCTTTTATTTCTGCTTGACATAGTCTTGGTATATGCTGCAAACTAAACTTTGAGACTGCACATATTACCCTACTGTCTTCTATGAAACATTGGACAACATACCATATTACCAGGGTTACTGGAATGGAGTAACCAATCCAGATTTTGGAATCAGCTCTTTATTCAATAAGACCCAATACAACTTTCCTAACATCTCTCTCATGCCATCAAATGACTTCAAGAAAAAAATTACACATGCTTGCTGATAGCTTTCTGCACATCCTCAAACCAAGACACTGATATAATAGAAAAAGTGGGCCATCTAGACACTATTCACACTCTGCTCAAAATTTTCAGGCGACTTCTGCCACTTGGCCTTTACCTTCCTTAAGTACTTTTACTCCTCTACAAGAATCCTCTATTCCATCTAACATACATTATTCATTATTCCTCAGAGATGGAATGCATTCTTATCTCTGCCACTTTGCTTATACTGTTTTCCCAATGTAGAATGCCTTCCCTCAACACTTGACTATGTCCTACCTTTCTTTCAAGGCCTAACTCAAGTTTCATCTTCCATGATGCCTTCTTAAACTGGTCTGGCCCTCAGTAATCATTCCCTCTTCCAGTTTCCTAAAGCACTTATCATTTGACACTTACTGTCCCATATTATTAATCTTTTATGCAGCAGGTACTACATAAATGTCTGTCAGACTGAACATGCTTTCTTTCCAGACTAGACTGCACTCCTTCTCAGGAACAGGAATAATGTTTCCTACCTCTTTGTATCCCTAGCACAGTGCCCTACAGAGTATCAAACAACCACAGAATTTCAAAAATAGAGGAGACTTTAAAGTCAACCACATTTCCCTCCTTGTTCCCTTCTCCCTTTCCTTCCCTACCATAATGGATGAAGAACCAGGGTCTAGATAGGATAAGTGCCTTGCCCACAGTCAAACAGTTCTTGGCAGGGCCAGCAGTAGTGCCTAAGTCTCCTGACCCTTGGGTCTACCACTTTTTCTATTACACCGTAAAGCCTCATTTGTAGGTACCCACTAAGTAACTGTTGTTGGCCTATGGCCAAATCTAGGTCAGGTAAGACATTCTTGTTGGAAGCCTATGTTGATAGCTCACCGGCGCTGGATCTGCCTTGCAAAGTTGTTGCTAGAAGCTGAACAGGGAAACTGGACGGCCTCACTGTGCAGGGTGGCATTGCGGAAGAGGTCACAGAAATTCTCAAAGAGCTCCAGCAATTCATCCGAGGTATTCTCAAACACTGCTATCACCTCTGTCGTCACCATATTGTACACAACAAAGAAGGAAGGCTGGAAAGGAGGAACAAATATAACTGTTAGCCAGCTGAGTATAACCCATGGCTAGGGTGACTCTTCATATTGGGCTAAAAATTCAAGCTACTCAAGAAAAACAAGAAAGCGTTCCTACTGTATGGGTCAATGGGGAAACAGGTCCCACGGCTTTAGGTGCCTCAGGGAGCCTCGACAGGCTTTATCAGTCAAATGCCTCTACGTCGCTACATTCCCCAATATAATTGTGTTGCTGAAATTACCAAGTTGGCTAGTTTAAAAAAAAAAAAGGTTTTCAATCTTTCATTTCAAACTGTGTGCTTCAATTTCCCTCTCCAACTGCTTCTTCTTTCTTTGCTCCCCACCCCACCTCAAGATAAAAATATATATTTTTTTAAAGTGCCAGATTTAATTTTATTTCCTGCTGGGGAAGTGATTTGCAGCCCTGTATTGGCTGCTGACAGATTATTTTCTCCTGTGTATGTACAGTTGAAAGTTCATTTTTTGGCATCTATTTTTCCTCTTAACATTTCCAACATGCAGAGAGGAGCCTTAAGTGCATTGTGTTTTAAAGCTGTCTCAGAAAGTTGTGTCCCAGCAGTATCCTGCTGCTGGACAAATGAAAATCCAGAGAGACATTTACTATTTATTTCTTGACAGATGCTCTATTGGCCAAAAGCATCTGTATTATCCACGTGGGATTTTGAGCAATTAGAACCATGGGAGGTCAGGGCAGTGACGGGGGGAAGAAGCAGAAGGACATGAAGTTTATTCAAATGCCACAGGCGGAAGTACCCAGAGCTACTTCGGAGTTCAGAGTTTTTTAGAGTGGGCACCTAGATATCCAATTCTCTCAAACTGCCTTTAGTTTGCTCTCATCAGCAATATAAGTCCCAGGATTTTTCCAGGGTCAATGAAATGCCAATCTGAAATCATCTGTTGGTTTCATAGAGGAAAACGAAGTTATCAAACATTAAGTATTTTTGACCTGGTTTGGATCTAAATCTCCATTACTCATTCCTGATGCAAACAGTTCATGCCACAGTATGGCATTTAGTATAGCTGAGATATTTAATCAGCCTATAATAAAGAAACTGGGTGGCAATCTGAGACCAATTTCCTAAATACTATCCCAAGGCTTCATATTTAAATGTATCTTTTACTCATTCATCTTTCATAATACCCATAGAAAGTGATGGTTTTACAGGAAGTGGGCAAAGAAAGTTTCAGTCTGAGGTCACAAATTATGTAAGACAAGAATTGTACCCTAGCAGCCTAATTTCTCAAGCCACAATTACCCTGTATCAGCCCAGAGGAAAAAAAAAATGGGTTGTTTTAGCTAACAATCAAAGGATAATCTTAATTGTGATGAAAATGATTTGACAATTTATTTGCCAAAATGAAAATTATCACCCAAACCTAAATAATGGATTTTCCTGCTTCAAGTTTTGTCTTATATTTATCTTTTCTACAAATCTAGGTCAGCTCTTTGATTTTGTTGTTTTACAAAGATATTACAGGAAAAAAGGGAGTTTAGCTATGCATGTTATATGATTATTACATGAATTACATGAACATGCAACTGGTTTCTCTTCAGCTAAGGTTTTCAGGAAAGTAAAAGGACAGGGGGAGAAGCAAAGGACTGTGGGGCAAATCTTAAGCAATGTATTCTAAAAGATAGGTGTTCACTAATGATGATTTAATGGGCTCACCATCGGATAACTATGGGGAAGAAAATAGGTTTCTGGGCTGATCATGATAGTTTCCACTAACAACTGAATCTTTTTATAGAACAAATAATCCACTTCTCAGAGGAAGCAGGTTGAAATTATTTTTCCATAAGCTAGCTAATAAGCTTTTTTGAGATACACAAAGGCCTCTAGTAGTGAAACATGGCCAAGAAAGAGGATCTAGAGCTAGGGGTTCTTCACCTAGTGTCTATGAATTTTAAATACACTTTTGATAGCTCTATTTTAATATAATTGGTTTCTTTTATAATTCTGTATATTTTATTTCATGCATTTAAAAACATTACTCTGAGAACGGATCCACAGCCTTCACCTGCCTGCCAAAGGGGTTCATGACACAAAAAACTTAAGAACTTATACTCCAGATGATTGGTTTAAATATATGGTTTTTTGCTTGCTATGGACAGATGGGTCAGAACTATTTATGAAACAATAGATAAGGCACTAGGAAGGTGAACAGCACAGACATCACACAAATTAATTTCTCCATCTGTCAAATTCAAAAAGGAAAAATTCCGAAAAAACAGGCAGTCTACTCTATTTCAAGATCAAATTTCAAAGAAACCTGGGTGCTCTTAAAACTTAATTGATCCTACCGATCTCTGAAAACTCTCTTCTTCCTATAAGCTCATTTAAAATAGTTAATTAATAGTTTAAAAAACTGAATAGACAGAAGCTGGACAGACATTTTATTTAATATGAGAAAAGGTTAGCTGTATAGTAGCTCTTTTACAGCCATATAGTCCAGATTATTCAGAAGCTAAATAAAAGAGCTTGTAGATCAGGAAGTTGTTCATTATTTCTGTTTTGTTTTGATTTTTTCAGTGTTCAGTAGTCCCTCTTTTAGTGTAGGGACAAAGTCAGTAAAAAGAGGTGAAACACAAATCAATCAAATTGTTTATTAATCTCTTTATAGAAAGATCTAGTGAGAGAGCTGACATTTTAATTACTGAATTGTGAAAATGAGACTTCCAATTATTGGAACATTTCATTTTGCCTCGATAGTCTGTCCCCCCATTAGCAGAGCAAAATCACTCAAGGTGGACAAATTATCCATGGGTAGCAGAAGCTTAAATGTTATCGAATTTTTGGCCATTCAGCAGTCACAGGACCTGGATTCAAATCCCACCTCTGATACTCATCACCTATGTGACCTACGGCAAATCATTTAATTTCCCTAGGCTTTAATTTCTTTACCTGTAAAGTAAAAGGGGCTGGACTAGATCATCTCTCAAGTTCTTTCCAGTGCTAGAGCTAGGATCCTATGATCTTACAGCAAACATGCATGCTCCCTCACTCTAAGTGTCTCAATAAGGCTGAACATCATCAAATACCTGTGATGGGTCCGTGACCCGTAGTGTCACTACATCTTCACTAGTGTACTTGATAAAGAGGTGATTTTCATCTAGAAGCTGCATCTTCCACATACGCAACTGTCGTAGCTGGTCAAAATATTGGAAGAAGCGCCTCTTGGCCATGGCACTCCCATCCTGCTCTGCCCGGCGCCACAAGTATACCAACAGTCGGTGTTTTAGGGAATTAATAAAGGGTTCCTTGTAGGGGTTGGCCATGCCTGTTTGGCTGTCTCGCTGTACCTCAGGGTAGACAGCTGAAAGGGTGAGCAGGTCATCCTCATAGCAGAATCGACCAATGGTACGCACATCAATAAAGGTGCCCTCAGGAGTGACCTGGAAGACATGAATGGTCTGCTGCTGTACTGAAAGAATGGCTAGTATGTTCTTATATAAGTATAGCCCTTGATTGTGGGACAAGATCACTTTATCACATTTGAACGTGCGGGTGTCACACAACCTGCCAGTGTGAAGATCAATGATATGAAGGGAATAGTCCTCCAAAGGGGAGCGGGGATTTGGTGTCACTGACTCACTGTTGCGATATACTTCATAAAAAGGAGGATGAGGCTCTTCCGGGAGGTAGGCAGCTGAACCCACAATGACACAACGGCAGTCATCTGTGAAGAGGCTACACTCACGATTTAGATGTTCACCATTAGCAGCTACATTGGTGATATGCAGTAAGACAAAGAAGCGTTCAAAGAGTCGGCCTCGGATGTTGACTGACCTCTGGTCATTGCCATTGGCCAAAATTTCACCCTCATAACCCTGCAGTAGGTCCTCTGCTGCTTGGCAGCCCTGGTACTCATAAATCTCCAGTGATGTCTGGTCTGAAGAAAAGGCAATAAAGTAGCGCCCATCAGGTGAAAATTTTCGAAGGAAGCAAGGTGGCTTTTCCACATTAACCACAGTAAAGTTGGGGAAGACGTTCTGGTGGAATACTCGAACCTGGTGCCAGTGGGTACCAGCCTTGCCTGAACTGATGCGCCGACGCTCCAAGCGGTGGATAACATTTTGGTTCTGGATTCTTCGAGGTTTGATTGTTGGAACATCATGATCCATCATCACACCATCTTATTTCTGGATGATTAAGAGCAGAGGGTCACAAATTAAAAGAAAAAAACCCAACAAACAAAAAACCCAAGTTCCCCTTCCACAGACACATCATCCCAGGGTTTACCTAACATCCTTTACCTTAAGTCACAAGGAAACAGTAAAATTCAAGTCTGTGTCTTCAACATGTGAACAATGGGAAGAGTTTAACACAGAAATGTCAAGTGTGCTTAGCTATAAAGGTGTTTATATAAAAAAATCTGAATCACTAGAATAAGTGAATGCAGAGTAAGAATTGAGTTATGAATTACTTACCTAAAACACATGAAGTCATTTTAAAATACTGCTATCGCTTTAACATTATCAGTAGCCCCAGTGTAGAGCATGGACTCTTTTAAAAAATGATTTATGAAGCATTAATTCAAATTTAACTTCACTTGAAGAAATTTAAGCACAGTACCTGGAATACAGTAAATGCTTAATAAATGCTGGTGATTAAGCACTTACTACTTATGAAGAGCTATACCAGGAATTATTACATGCAAAGCACTATATTAGTTAAGGACAATGACAAGTTTGGTTTCACTCCCACTTTACCTCATTTTATGCTGTTCTTCTGCTCTAAGAGAATCACTAAAAATTAAGGTAAGAGGAAAGTTCAGAAACAGTTTCATAAGCATCTTACTTGATTTCAGAGTATGCCTCTTCCATTTTTTCTGCAATGTTCTACTCTCCCCCTCCTCCCAACAACATTCAAACTCTCAAAAAGGATATTGGACTGGTGGGAAGAAGCCCCTGGCTTCTGATTAAAACTCTCCCACCCATGCTGGTTTTCTAAATTACTAAGACTCTCTGGAACTCAATTTCACTGGATCACAGGATTCAGAGATAGTTTAAGAAAAGAAAAAAACAAAACCCTCAGATCATCTAGAACAGAGTTTCTCAACCTTTTTCAATCTTTGGCTCTAAGTAAACCTTTCAGTTTCAACATGAAAGGAAACATTCTATAGTTTACCATGCAAAAGCATATAAGAAATAAAAGAGACTCGTTTTTCATAAAGAACACTTTATTTAGCAGGTAACATTTTTAGTATCATAAGCACTAACACTACTACTTTTGGAATATTTCATTAAGAAAACGCAACTATTTACCAATTATTTCCTCAAACCATTCAACAAGATCCTCATATCTTGGGGGTACCTCCACCCCAGACTGGAGAATCATGGTCTGGTCCCCTTTCCTTTTATAGATGAAAAAAAAAACCAACAAAAAACTTAAGGTCCCACGGTTGAGAAACTTTGCATGGATATGAACTTGGATGGTTCTTCTGCCTCCAAATCTGTTTCTCTTTCTAGGACACCTCACTGCCCCTCTCATCCATCAAAGACGGTTGAAGTAAATGATTTCTAAGGCCTTTTCCAAATCTAAACACGTAGGAGTTTGATTCTAAGGTGGAAAAGAACTCTCTAAGGGGGTGGGCAGTTTCTCCCCATTTCCTCCAAGAAAAGAGCAGGAAAGGAGCAGAGCTGGAGGAAAAGAAGTGGTGGAGCGGGGTGTGGATGGGGTCGAGGACTACCGTGGTGGGTGCGGAAAGCGAAGCAAGGCTGGGGTGGGCCACGGGCCCTGCCACTTACTACCTGGGTGACCTCTGAGGCCCCTTCCAGCTCTAAGCCCTGAACCTTCGACAAGGAGGGGGCGTCGAGCCCGCGGGGAGCACGACTATCGGGGCCGGGGCTCTGTTAAACCTCGGGGCACGGGGGCACGAGGGCACGAGGGCGGGGGGCAGGGGAGGAACGCGGCCCAAGGTCCGGGTGGCCCGGCCGGCAGGAGAGGAGCCCGCGGCCGGGAGGAAGGCCCAAGGACCTGAGAGGCGACGAAGCGGGGGAAGGGGAGCGTCCTCACCCGTCCGTCCCGCGCCTCCCGTCGCGCCGGGCTCATGAGGCCGGGGCGAGGGGATCCCCAGGCTGCGTTGGCCGCGCTCCGACGGCCGCCACAGCCACCGCTGCCACCGCCATGTTGCCACTGACGCCGGCACCCGGCGACAACGGCCGGGATTGCCCCGTTCCCCCCCCAACCCCCCTCCCTCAGCCAGCCGACGGAAGTGAGGGCCACGGAGGTGGAAGCGTGCGGAGAGAGCGAGGTGTCCAAGGTTCAGCGCTCCATCGCCTGTCCTGAAAGGGAGAGCGCGCCCCCTGGCGTCCGGAGGTGAAGTGAGGCCGCCTAAGCCCTAAGCGACCACGCCTGCTGAAATTGACTCAATAGCTAGCAGTCTTTCTCCTTTCTTGTTTGCGGCTCCTGGGTACAGAGGATCACGGGACAAAGCTGAAACATTTTACAGCCTTATCATTTTACTGATGAGGAAACTGAGGCACAGAGAAGTGAAGTCACATTTCTAATAGAGCCAGGATTCCAACCCTAATCCCCTGTTCCCACAATACATTCTGCTCACAAGCCATTACCCTCTGTATGTTACTCATTGTTGATTTTTCAGACTGTTGAATTCCATGTCTTGCTACAATATAGCAACGCCCAGAGCATGCTGATTTTTAAAAGATGGGTGAATTGTAGGGAGCAAAGGAAGGTGAGAGGGAGAGAATTCAGAACTGAAAATAAAATAAAATAATAATGCATAATAAGCAAAATAAAGTATATATAATAAAATAAATATGAATTTTAAAATATATGTTACATTTTAGAAATAAAGAATAGCCTTCGGCTTTCATGGGAAGCTTGGGATCATTAAGGTAACTTTGCAGTTTCCTGAAGGAAATCAGCCCAAGGTCCTCCTGTTCAATTCTGCCCAACTTGTCAGTCAGTATTATCTGTCCCAGGTATGCATATTTATGAACAGACCTCATAGGTAGTATTGTAAATATCCTCTGGGTATTGAGATATGTCTGTTTGACTTGAAACATAGTAATAACATATTTCTTGTAATATTTTTCTCTGAAGAGTTAAATATTAAAATCACACAAAGGGAAATGGAGAAGAATATCAAAGACCAAGAGTAAAGATACCAAGAGGGGGCAGTAGGTGACGCAGTGGATAGAGCATGCCCCGAAGTTAGGAGGACCTGAGTTCAAGTCCAACCTCAGACACATAACACTCACTAGCTGTGTGACTCTGGGCAACTCACTTAACCCCCATTGCCTCACACAAAAAAAAAATGCCAGGGAAATCAGATGGTCTAGTCCATGTTTCATGTGGAATTATGGCTAGGTATCTGGAGTGGTCCATTATTGCCCTCCCAATGTTAGAAAGAAAGGCCTCCAGCATTGTAGGTAGATCCTCTGTGGTGATGAACAACAGTCATACAAAACGGGTTGCAATCTCAACAGTGGAAGGAAACTTCCAAATCAATGACATCACAGATCCATTTGATCAAGAGTTTCCTCTTGGCCAGAGGGATCTTTTTAGATACCACTTGAAGGTACCCATCATTTAATAGCTACCCATTGCCTACTAGAATAAAATCCAATCTGCTGAATCCTTCCTAGTCCCCAGGCTCTTCAGTCTTTTAGTCTACTGATCTCATAGGTGAAAGAACCTTCAGATTTAGCCTGGATGGTCTATTCACTGGCTTTTAAACATTCACCATGAAACAAATTCCAAGCTTGCTTTCAGTTAGTAAAGGTATAGTGAGTGCTTACTATATGCTGATCACTTTATTTTGTGCTATGGATACAAAGACGAATATGAAACAGCCCCTGCCTTCTACCACTTCATTGAAGCACAATTCCAACCTATTTCCTCCATCATAGCTTTATTTGACCATGTTGTTATTGTTGTTCAGTTGTTTCAGTTGTGACTGACTCTTTGTGGGTTGTCTTGGCAGAGACACTGGAGTGGTCTGCCATTTTCCTTTTCAAAATCATTTTACAGATCAGGGAAGTGAGGGAAAGAGGGTTAAGTGACTTGTCCAGGGTCACACAGCTAGTAAGTCAAATCTTAGGGCAGATTTGAATTCAAGAAGATGAATCTTCCTGATTATAGGCCTGGTACTCTATCCATCATACCACCTAGCTGCCCATTTCTCTAACCACCCCAGCCCACAATTGTCATAGAATCATAGATTTATCAAGCCAGGAAAGTGCCCTGAGGAAGAGACAGGAGATGGCACTTGCCATCAAGCCAAACCACTGTTGTTGCCTCAAACATCTCCTCCCCTCAAATCTCAATGGATACAGGCCAAGACTCTTCACCTAAGGACCCCTAGAAAATGAATATTCTCTCCCACTGTCTCCACAGTCTGATCATATAGAGGGGCAACCCTTGTGGAGAAAGGGGCCATCATATCTATCCATATCAACTGCTACTATTTAGCTGGTAAAGCCAAGAGACCTAGAATAGCAGTCTCCCTGAGTCCTCCCCCCCACCCCCACAGACCACTGACTGTTTCCAGCCTGGCCCTGTGAGCCATCAAACAAGGGATCAACCGTTGTGGAGACTGGCAACCTGGCAACTTCCTCTGCAGGGTCTGCAGCCCCTGCTTCCTTAGTAGCCACAACTACTAAAGCCCCAAAGACCTTTTTTCTGCCAAACTAGTTTCCACTTTTCACAGCAGTTCTTGGAGACTTAAGGAATCCATCCCTAGTAGTTTTGGTTATAGGTCTTGTGGTTATAGAACACTGGGTTATTGTGTTGGATTGCTTCTGATACTTGCTTGTCTAGTAAGTTCCACTAATCTGCTTTTCTGGTTCATTTTTTTAAGCTAGTACCAAGTAATTTTGATGATTAATAGCATCAAAGGTAATGCTATAACTTCTTCATTCCCATTTTTTCCATCTTTTTCTTGACATTTTAGATGTTTTGTTCCTCCAAATAAACTTAGTATTATTTTGTCTATTTCTATAAAGTATTCTCTCGGTAGTTTGGTGTAGCACTAACTATAAATTATTTTAGGTAGTATTGCCTTTTTATTATATTTGCATGGTCCAATCATGAGCACTGAATCTCTGTCCAACTATTTGTCTCCATATTTCTGCAGAAAGAGTCATGGCATAGTAAATGAAGACCTTACCCTCAGAGCCATGCTTCTGACACACACTGGATCTGACCCCTGACAAATCACTTAACCCTCAATGTTCTAGGTAATTCTCTAAGACTGACTGCAATAGTGTACTATTGCAGTACCACACCCAGGAGATCTTTATAGCAATGAAATCACAGAGCCTGTCCTTGTCCCTATTCTTATTTCTGTAAAGGGTAGAAAGCACACACCTTGGGCTATCAATCACTCTATTTGCTGAGCCTCAGTTTCCTCATCTTCAAAGAAAGAAGGATATATGTGATGGCCTCTAAGGTCTCTTCCAAAAACCTTATGTTGTTATGATCTGAATGCTAGTGAATCTGGCTTTGAAGTCTTTACCTCAATGGTCAAAGGCTATAAACAGATAATATTTACTAGTTGTGTTTCCCCGTTTATCAATGAACACTTGTAAAAATGTTCAGTCTAATAACCCCCACATGTTCGAATGGAAAAAGTAAACAAAATTGTAGTAGGTCTGCAGGGAAATAGTTACCTCTGGAAATGTAAAGTATGGCAATATTTCTGTAAAGCAATCTGGTAGTAAGAAACAAAACATGTAAGACTGGATCATGCTCATTCCCCCAGTAATCTCATTATTGAGGCTATTCCAACAAAATACTTTAAAAAAGGAAGAAATCTATTGGGACAAAGCTAATTATAGAGGTTGGATGGTCCAGACCTATAATCTCATTGGTGTAGGGAATTCCCTACACCAATGCAGATCAGCAACTCTTGTGAAATTTATTCTCTTAGAGACTTACCTGGTACTCTGACAGGTACACTTGCTCATGGTTATGAAGTCAGTACGTGTCAGAGGTCTTCCCAACTCTAAAGCTAACTCTCTATTTAGCTGTATTATATAGACACAGCCTGAATGCCCAGTGGCTGGGGAATTAGCATAGAACTAGACTATGGCAAGGTAAGCAGCTGCTTAGAGCAGAACACATCTGAGATGGAGGTTTTTAACAGTACTTTTCATGGTAGAGGCTATCCATTCTTCTCTTCCTAATATACAGCAACACTGGAGGGGGAGTGAGGGTGAAGAGTGGTACTTCACTGCCATCATTCCCTTCCTTGCGCTAAATAAAACAGGAAACAGCCTAAAGTACTTGGAATAACCCCATTCAGCTAACCAAACTTCCGTACTAGAGAGAAATGCAAATCTGTAGATGGAGAACAAAATGCCAGAGCTAGGGAAAACATGACATCAGACTAAATTTTACCCTGAACCAACTTCATGTCAGTAACAGAAAACCATTCGAAGATGAGAAGGGACGGTTTATGCTCCTGACTGCTGGGCAAGTTTCAACGTAAAGCCAGGTCTATCATAACCATAGTGAAATTTTAAAAATAAAAGCTTCAGAGTCACCAGTGGCTACCCACTGCCACAAGAAAGAACTTTCAAGTGTCTCTCTCAGCCTTACTGAGACTAGAACAAAATGAAGCCTTCCCTCTCCCTGCCTCTTTTCCCCAGAAATGGAGCTATCTGATATGTTCACTACCTGCCAGGAGATGTGGAAAATTACTTTATTTTGTGCTATGGATACAAAGGAGCAGATGACCAAGCCTCTGAGGAGAGCAACAGGAAGAGTGGCCACTGATCTTGGAAGCTGGGAATTTCAGAGGGCAGCAGTGGAATGAAGACAGGCTGTATACCTAGTTTATGACTATAAGGGACTGAGGCTGTACAAGTCACTGGGGAAGGGGTTGTTCAGTTGCAGGTATTGATTTGTTACCCATACCCAGAAAAGTTCAATTTGTTTCCTTCTCCATGTAAATATATTTTTCCTTCTTTGAGCTTTGTGAACTGTGTGCTTATGCTTATAAGAGGAATTGGTGACAACATACTGGTTGGTGTCA